TAATGAGTCTTCTCGTATTCCATTCTTGAACGGTGATAATTTTTCAGACTGGAAGGACAAACATCCTCTAACATTACGGTGCATGGACCTCGATCTGGCACTCCGTGTGGATGAACCTCCTGAACCCATGGACGAGAGTTCCACTGTAGAAAAAAGTGCTTATAAATAAGTGAGAGCGATCCAATCGTTTAAGCCTAATGTTCTTAAAGTCACATATCAGCCAGAGCATTAGGGGCTCAATCCCACCATCTGATAAGGTCAAGAACTACACGAGGGCTATTGAAGAGCAATTTGTTAGTTCTGACAAAGCATGACAAGCACCCTAATGAACAAACTATCAGGAATGAAACATAATAATTCTAGGAGTGTGCGTGAGCACATATGGAAATGAAGGACATTGCAGCTCGTCTTAAGTCATTAGAGATTGAGAAGAAAGGTAATCTCATATCTCGTGTGTTATGAATCTAATTTGTTAATACTCATCAATATGATTGGTAGATTAATTTGGGTTCTACAATTCACATTGCTAATACCATGCAAGGCTTCCTCAGCCTAAGGAAACCGATGGGAAGTGAACAAGGCATCTATTCGGGCAATGGGATGCGTTCCAACGTCGAAGTTGTTGGAACTTTCCGACTTGTTTTAAAAAATGGCTTTGTTTTGGATCTTGAAAACACATTTTACATTCCATCTTTTTCAAAAAACTTAATTTCTGTTTCTAGACTAGTACTATTTGGATTTGAATTTCAGTTTGTTGGTGCAAATTTTAGTTTGTTTAAAGACCCTGTTTTCTATAGAATTTGGTACTTTAAGTAATGGTTTGTACAAATTAAATCTGGATCCTATTTTTGAACAAAATCTTTTAACCTTGCATGGTGAAATTGGCATTAAGCGTAATATTGTTGATGAGTCCTTCTCTATTCTTTGGCATAGGAGATTGGGACATATCTCCATGAGAGAATAAAGAGGTTGGTTAATGATGAAATCCTTTCGACTCTTGATTTTACCAACTTTGGTATTGGTGTGGACTGCATAAAGGGAAAGCAAACCAACAAGACCAGTAAAGGTGCCAAAGGAGTGTGGAAATTCTTGGAATCATACACACTGATATTTGTGGACCATTTACTCCACCTTGTCTGAATGGTCAGAGATATTTTATCTCATTTATTGATGACTTCACACGATACATGTATCTCTACCTCTTGTTTGATAAGGCCGAGGCACTTGATGCCTTTAAAGTTTATAAAAGCAGAGGTAGAACACAAACAAAAACGAAATTAAATATTGTGAGGTCAGACAGGGTGGTAGAATATATGGAAGGTACACAAATTGGGACAATTACCAGGTCCATTTGCTAAGTTCCTTAAGGAAGAAGGCATTATTGCACAATTCAATGCTGGCACACCACAAAAAAAAGGTGTTGCTGAAAGAAGGAACCGAACACTTATAACATGGTAAGGACATGCTTAGTTATTCTAATGTGTCTATAAATTTATGGAGTGAAACTTTGAAAACCGCTGTGTATATCTTAAACAGGGTTCCATCCAAGGTTGTTCCAAAACAAAACCGTTTGAGTTTATGGAAAGGATGGAAGCCAAGTTTAAGACACTTACACGTTTGGGGTTGTCCAGTTGAAGTGAGGGTGTATAACCCACATTTAAAGAAATTGGCCCCATAACAGTTAGTGGTTTTTTCATAGGCTATGTGAAAAACTCCTAGGGTTACAGATTTTATTGTCCTTCAAATTCACTTATAATTGTTGAAGCCAGAAATGCTAAGTTTATTGGGGAATTGACCCTAGTGGGAGTTACCCTCGAAAGATAAAGTGAAAGAATCACGGGATCCGGATACAACACCCATGAATATAGTTGAATTGGTTCTTTCAAGATTATCAACCCGATATTCTTGAAATTCAGCAAATTCAAGAACTTTCACCACAAGAGGAACAAGTCAACATAGAGCATGTAGCTCAAGTCCCAATTAAGACTACAGAATTAAGGAGATCCTCACGAGCTAGAAAGTCAGCAATTTCTAGTGATTATTTTGTATACTCAATGGAGTCTGATTTTGACATTGGACCTAAAGATGATCCTATTTCATTTTCCAACGCCATGAATAGGGATGATTCTAAATTATGGTATGATGCCATGAAGAAGAGTTGGAATCTATGGCTAAGAATCAAGTTTGGAAATTGTCGAGTTGCCTAAAGGAGTTAAAGCGGTTGGCTGTAAATGGGTCTATAAGACCAAAAAAGACTCAAATGGCAATGTCGAACGATATAAAGCCAGACTTGTAGCTAAAGGTTTCACTCAACGAGAAAGCATCGATTATCATAATACATTTTCTCCAGTTTCTAAGAAGGATTCATTTCGAATTATCATGGCATTAGTAGCTCATTTTGATTTAGAGCTACATCAAATGGATGTGAAAACAACATTTTTAAATGAGGATCTGAGGAAGAAGTATGCATGACCCAACTTGAAGGTTTTTGTTCTGATAAAGATAGTCACTTAGTTAGCAAGCTCAAGAAATCCATATATGGACTAAAAAAAGCTTCCCGACAGTGGTATTTAAAGTTCTACAATGTTATTACTTCATATAGTTTTTATGGAGAATATTGTGGACAACTGTATATACCTTAAGGTTAGTGGGAGCAAGTATATTTTTCTGGTTCTATATGTGGATGACATTTTACTTGCTTCTAATGATTTGGGATTGTTGCATGATACTAAACAATTTCTTTCTCAAATTTTGAAATGAATGATATGGGTAAAAGCTTCTTATGTCATTGGCATAGAGATTCCACAGAGAATAGGTAAAATTCAAGATGAGTGACTGCACTCCTAATGCAGTGCCCCTTTTAAAGGGTGACAAATTCAGTTTAAGTCAATGTTCGAAGAATGATTTGGAAAAGGAACAAATGGTTAGCATTCCCTATGCGTCTGTCGTAGGCAGTTTAATGCATGCTTTGGTTTGTACATGACCTGACATTGCATTTGCAGTTGGGATGCTTGGAAGATACCAAAGTAATCTAGGAATGGAACATTGGAAGGCTGCAAAGAAAATCATGAGGTACTTAAAGGGAACCAAGGACTATATGCTTACTTAGAAGCATGTTGATTATCTTGAGGTGGTTGGATATTCAGACTTGGATTTTGTGGGTTGTCAAGATTCCAGAAAATTCACTTTAGGATATGTCTATCTGCTAGCAGGCGGTGTTGTTTCATGGAAGAGCGCCAAAGAGACGATAATTGCATCGTCAACAATGGAAGCAGAGTTTATAGCCTGCTTTGAAGCAACCTCACAAGCTATTTGGTTAAGGAATTTTATCATAGGGCTTCGAATTGTGGATTCAATTTCTAGGCCATTAAAGGTTTACTGTAATAAGTCGGCTGTGGTTTTCTTCTCTAACAACAACAAAAGTGGTAGCCGAAGCAAACATATTGACATAAAGTATCTTGCTATTCGAGACCGTGTTAAAAAGCAAGAAGTCAACATTGAGCATATTAGTACCGATATGATGATTGCAGATCCCATGACCAAAGGTCTTTCTGTAAAGGTGTTTTCAAAACACGTTGAGGGCATGGGACTGATTGGTTAGCTCAATAATTTTTCAAGTTGTTGTTTTATTTTGTTTTGTCATGACATTTTGATTATTATTAGTGAAAAGCATCATTTTGTGCACCTAAAGTATTTGTGATGCTATGCAGTCCATTGGGACTATTGATCCATAGGGATCATTGAACCTAGAATAACTTATTAGAAGTTATTCATAAAGAATGACACCACATAAAGTTGAGAGTGTGATACAATGTAATACATGGAAGGAAATACTTAACTGATAGAGTATAACTGCCATGATTCGTGTATTATACCTCTAAGGTTTGAGTATTTTTATTTAATGGCCATCATCAGTTTGTTAGTTACTCGACAGTCAACAACGTGTGTTATATGTGCCAAGTGGGAGAATGTAAGAATATCCATAAAGTGACCCATATGCCACATGTTTGTTTTATTTATTTATTAGATATATTTAATTGGTTTAATGACTAATTAATTGGTTTAATGACTAATGAGTAACTAATGTCTGTTCACTATCTCATATGGTAATTTCATGGGACTTTATAACTTCCCTGATGGTGGGAAGTTATAAGGAGTTACTCTTGGATATGGGTCCAAGCCTATCTATATCTATGCATGTGATAGCCATCAAACACAGACGTTGTTTTGTGAATAGAATAGGCTTGAAACTCTGTCCTTTTCACTTTTCCCATATGGTTCTGTAAAAGTGTTCTGTTAGTGTGCTTCTTTATACATTCAAGATTTGATCATTCAAGGATAAAGATTCAAAGGCTTGAACATCATGGCAGGAGCTATTCTTCTTTCTGAATTAAAATTATTTTAATTCTCACATTACACAGATGAAAATTTGGTAACGAATAAACTTTACCCAAGAAAAATATACAAATTCTATCGGAACAAATTTGGTTATAAGCATCAGCCTAAAATTTGTCTTAAAGAACTAGGTAGATAAAACAATAGCAGCACTACTATTGCAAGCCTAGCGAACCTCGCTGTGCATGTATTCTCTTTATGGGAAACTTAGACTCGAAAAATATGAAGAATAAAATGCAAAATAAAGAAGAAATGACCATTCTTACTATCAATTGAAGTGAGGGGGATAGAATTTATAGATTCCTCCATGACTCTTTAGAAAGGTTGTGACCCTTGAAAAACACACACTCTCTCATCTCAAGAGACACAAGCATTAGAGTAAATTTAAATTCAAATTCAAATTTTCCAACAATTTGTACAAAAATCAATTGTAAAATTAAAAATAACTCTTTTATTTAAGTCTAGGATTTATCTTGTGAGACAAAATTATGTTTAGTTTTGTGATTAGCTTCTAATTTATGTGTGAAAAAGTCAACAAACCTCTTTGAATAAATACAGATGTTGAGTCTGTATCCAATCTTCTCTCTGAACACCCTCTCAACCAAATTATGTATCCAAATCATTTATACATGAAATACCAAATTTTATTCTCAAGCAATTTGTAAATGGCAAGAGTACTTTAATAGCCATACATATGGGAAAATAAACGAAAATTCATTTAAAAACAATTTTTAAAAATCAAACCAAACAGACACGTGTTTCTAAGCTCTCTGTTTGAAAATTCTCTTCAAATGCTCTGCAATTATCAATGTTGGAGTCGGAGCCGACGAAACTGGCGACTCCTCGGGTGTGTTTGGATCAACATTGTCAATGAGGGATCGACCTTTGATCATATCAACCTCTCCATCTTCATTCATCATAACCATGTTGCACGGAATTCTCTGTGCATAGTATTCACTGTATCTCTGGTGATGCCTGTTGTCAAACACATCCTAAACAATTTAAAAATTCAATTCTACTGTGAACACAAAAATTAAACATATAATATAACATAGAAGAGAAATGTTAGAGATACCAAATACTATGCACAGAGAATAAAAGTGTGAGATCATTTGATCATTTATTTGATAAAAAATTTAAGACTTGTAATATTTTCTAACATGGAATATTTTCTAACATAGAATATATAGAAATAAATAAGATTATATGATTCTATGGTTGAGTTCTTCACATATTCTTAAATTTGTAGAACCCACAATTACTCGAGAAACAACCAAAGATAATTTCAATTTGTGGGAGTGATTTACCTATCAAACACTACAAGAGTTGCGTGGAGGCTTATGATTTGCTCAACAACAATTAATTGCAAAGGGTACCCCATTTCAGCTCTCATTTGCAGTTTTACCTATATAATGCACAAAAATGTTGTGTGTATAATAAATTGACAATCTTAAAGTGCATAGCAATCCTGCAAACTTAACGATAAATAAATAATCCATTAGGGGGAAAAAAAAAAAAATCATTAAAACTTTGAAAATTTAAAAGATGTAAATCAAATTTATTTTGGATGTAACGCACACCACACTAATTTAAATCTAAACACCATACATTTTTAAGTTCTAGATAATTTTTTGTGCAGAGCATCTCTAGAAGGAATGAGGGAAATATTACTATATTAGAATTTTTATTCACATTTTTTTATCAATATGATATGATAGTGACATTTTTATAATTAAATATCATTTTAATTAGTATCTTGTTTTACAACAATAAGATTCGATGCAGTCATCACATCATTCTGTATGTAAATTATGTGTGCTTTTTATTTATATATCGTTATGTGAGAAAGAAAAGAAATCAATGTTACAGTGATATCACATTTTTATCCACACACAACATTATCCTTAATAAGAAATCACCTTACTATGCAAAAAACTTGCTAATTTTATGTTTCAATTTTGAATTTATAAAGTGAATTCTTGAGAAGGGGGGGGAGGGAAAAAATCTTTTTTCACTTCGTACTTTCTTTTTTTTTTTTCCACGAATTCTTCAATAAAATTCAAGATTGAAACACAAGAAAATGTAAAGCTTATAAATAATATATATACCCCATATTGTTGGCAAAGATCAATTAGTTTTTGGACTTTTTGATACTTGGAATCGCTCTTCCACTCGGTTTTCTCTGGGATGCATAACAAATCTTCTAGATCCATTGTCCAAACGTCCGACCATGTCTTTGAAGATACTAAACAACACACACCAAAATTAAATTGCATTAATTTATGAATCAAATCTTTGGTTAAGTACTATTAGCTTCGTTTGAGAATAGATTTTTTTAGGAGTTTTTCAAAAAATTTATAAGGGAATGTGGTGGCTCAAAAAATATCAATTTATTGGGAACAACCAAATAATTCCTAACCGTGGGCTCAGCTCAAGTAAGGAAGTCCATCAAGCAAATATCACACCCTCCTATAAAAGGAAAACATCTCATGAAAGATAGGTATGCCTCATCTCTATATTACATTAATACTTCTCAATTCTTGATCTATTCTCTTGGCTTCAAAAACTCTAACTTTGTCATCAGAGTGTCCCCGGCCAGCAATTCCAATTGGGTGACGCCGACCATGTTTATCTTTATAGATTTACAGGGATAAGCTTATCTTTTCACTGAATCTCTTCAACAATTTATGTGAGTGAATTTATTGAATCTCACAAGTAAAATACGTTAATATATTTGGGAATGATTTGTTTTAATTATATTGAAAAACGTGAGTGACTTATGTGTGATTGTTTTATGTCAAATAAATTGATTAATTTAAGCGTGCTTGTTTGGAAAAAATCAATAAGGGAGGTTAACAAGATAATATAAAAAAAAATATCTAAAAATATAAAAATTAATCACACAATCGGATACAATTTTTTCAAATGAGTGGGTCAGATCTTTCGTGAGTCTCACCCCATGTTCAAAGGGTTGTGTCCAATTCTGTGATTAATTCCTGTGCAAGTAAAGGAATGCTAAGTAGATATATGCTCACATGGAATGTTAAGCCAAGGCGTGACACCAAGCAGAGTAACAGAACAAGAAGCCTCAAGAGCTATGTTCTTGAGGACCCATTCAAGTGGCTCCATTGTAAACTCCTTCAAAGCATCCATAACCACCACCACATGCTTGGGTAAGTCTGATGAACTCGGTGACTCACCAGGTATCAAATCTTGTGCCAGTGTTCTCTTCCCCTTTGACAATTGTCTTGCTTGTTTGGCAACCTGGTTTTCTTCTTCCTCTGTTATATCAGGAGCAACCATTTTATCCTCTTCTCTCGTTTTTTTTTTTTAAGAAAATTAATAGTAGAGAGAGAGAGGAAGGAATTGTTGGGGATCATTTTGGTGTTTATATAGAAGGGTTTCGTATTTTGGTGTAGTTTGGAAAGAAACAAACATAGCTTTGACAAAAACAATGTGTGAGCTTAGTATGCTTTTTTATGTGAACTATGCTACAGTTTAAGTAGAGTGTGATAATTCCAAGTTATAACACTTTGGGTTATACAGATGATTTGTTGATATATGACACTCGTACTTAGCCCCGTTCAAGAATAAACTATTTTAGTTGGTTATTTAACTTTTTAATTATTTTTTAATTTGATTAAAAAAGTTGTGTTTGAGATGATAGTTGAATTTTTTTTTATAATTGATTTGGTAATTATGAGAGAAAACGACTATAGGTTAGCTAAAAAAAGTTGTGTTTAGGATGATATTTGTTTTTTTTTTTTTAATTGATTTGATAGTTATTAGAAAAAGATAAAATGATTATAAATTAAATGTGACATTTTATCTTATTAATTATTTTAGCTTATTTTATCTTTATTAGCTATTTTAACCACATAACCTCTAGCCAAGCAAGGCCTTAGTTTAAGATTGTCAAACTATGTGAATGTCTTTTAGAAACTAACCTATACAAGATTAAGGGTTTTCAAGTAGGAAAAGCACTGGATATGCCAGTCTTTTAAGCTAGGAGAAACTAACTAGGGAATATAACCACAAAAAAAATAATTTCACCATATCTAATCCACTCTTTAATTCCATTAGCAGTAATGTCATGACTAAGAATAACTCAAAAGAAGCCTCCAAATAAAATGTATTTTGTGTCGTGACTATCAACTTATAAATCTATTTTGCAAAATCATCTTGTGATGCTAATATTTCCATTTCAGCGCAAGCATAATACTGGTAATGTTGTCCATAACCGATGTGTGATGCCAACATTTCCAACTCAGCATAGACACAACTCTTATATAATATTGTCCACTGCATTGTCCACTACAAGGGTTATCATTTCATTTGACTTGAAAGTCTATGCCCTCCAAGCGTTTTCCCAGCCCACGCCAGTACCACGTGGAAAATTTTGAAGGAAAAAATTAAAAATAAAACAAATATCCAATATAGGCCCAAATTTCGGCCTGTTGGATAGAGTTCGGACCTAACAATTTTTACCCTGGGCCATCCCAGTCCAGCCCAACAAACAACGGGTCAAGCTTTGGGCACCATTTTTGCGGATCAAACTAACCCAACCCCTAGTCTACTATGACCCAACTCGAACCGTCAGCCTCAGGAGGAATCCTAGATGAATGTATCATGCAACGTCTAATAAGTCTATACTAGACATCCTCCACAATTGGATTCCAACATTATCCTCCAACAAAGAGCACAAACCAAAAACTAAAAAACAGACCTTCATACAAGCACAGTAAAGAGTCAACTAAAGAATTAATGAAATCATATAAAAAAACATTCCAGTTTTTTTAATTTTTCAGCATCAAAATGGCTTTAAGTCCTCTCATAAATATCAATCTCTCATCCAACCAATGAAACACTGAAATAATGGCACATAAGAATTTAAACCTGAAATTTATAATAAAAAAAAAACTCAATAGGAGGCTCCATTGATCTATAAGGTTCTTTTATGAGTTATGTACAATGGTAGCGAATTGCAATTTACTTCATGATCTAAAACACTATCTGTTTGCTTAAAACATTTGTAGAACTAGCATAGCCCAAATAAAACTTCAACTCAAAACTCTACATCTGAAACAAAATATAAACAAACCTATGGAGCCAAATATTCCCAAGGAACAAGAGAGTTTACTGTCAACATCTACAAAACATCTATGTCCGTCGAACCTGTTCAGCGTAAACTTCCAGCAGCAACCGGACGCAAAAACGAGTCAAGATTGGCCTTATGGTGAGAACTTGAAGGCCTATCATTTCTGTTTGAAGACAATTCCACTCTCCCGCCCCTCTTACTGTTCGAAGAACCTTGAGACCCATTCATGGCAGCCAATAATTCTGCGCTCCTGGTATTGGGCATGTTTTTCAATAGTTTACGAGCCTGCTTTCTGTGTGAATCCTCCTCTAGATCATTGTCCAATTCTCTTTTACAAGGCACTTGTCTCTCTGATAACGGTTCACCACATGGGATAGAATAACTGGCTACTAACAATTCCAACCCAATTCATGGTGTTAGTTCTTACCAATTTCAAGAAAATTACATAAAAATGCATAGATACTTTAGTTTTTTAATTGGTTGTAGACTGCATAAATACACAAATGAAACTTTAAAAAAGGAATTTACCTGGAGGCTCTTCTGCATATATATCAGGGCTAGGGGGGCTAGGGGGCGTTAAAGAAGTGATATTGGCACCGTTCTTAACTTCATCAAACTCTTGATTGCAACTATTTTCTGTAAGAACAGATGGAGATAACTTTTTCTCAACTTCACATGAAGCTCCGCTGGTAGAATCACTTATCTCCGGTGGCACTGGAGTAGATAACCTTTGAGACTCATTACCTTCAACCCCATCATGTCTAAATCCATTAGAAGGCTCCACAGAAATTCCAACCACATCCTCTCTGGCTTTGTTGATTTCACAACTACAATTATTTGCCACGTGAGGGGATGATGTAGAAATGTGATCCACGTTATCTAAAACTGACTTGGGGGAATTGTTTGATACGGTTGGATCTACAGATGACTTATCTGTTTCCATCAAACTTGAAAGCCAGGGTGTGCCCCGCTTTGCATAGAATAGAATGTAGGCTTCCTGAGAAAGCACATAATCTTCTCGAACTCTAACAACCTAAACAAACAAAAAAAACCACTTGAACATTAATTTCTGCTTTCAAATCGTCAATAAAAATATAATTACGAAATGGTATTCTCAACCAGTACTGCATCCCAATGTTCCCTCATAGAGGAACAAACAATTTAAACAGATCAAACTAAAAAAGCCATCACGTTAAACTAGTTAAACTTCACAACATTAAAAAGGAAAATTGTACTTCAGGTGAGATAAGAAAACTTTCCAAATGTTTGTCCATTACATCATGATCCTTAAAACTCAACCCAAAAAGCCTGTCCCAATTACATGGGAACACATGCATAGATCAATTTCCTCCAAATTATTCCATTCAAAGTCATATCCTCAGTTAAATTTAAGGTAAGTGGTATTTTATATCGCGTCAACCCATTGTTTTTTTTTTTTTTTTGGTCCTGATTGGTTTCTTTTACCGCCTTCAACATGGATCATTTCACTCCTCACAGGTGCATTAATTGGTCTGCGATGCACATGGCCACACCATCTCAGATGGCTCTCTCATTTTATCCTTGATTGGTGCCACTTCTAACTTATTCCTAATGAATTTGTTTCTTATTATATCTTTTTCTTGTAACACCACTTATCCATCTCAACATTCTAATTTCATATACACTTATTTGTTTTAACATATTTTTCTTAACCACCCAACCCAACAATCAGTACCATAATACATCACATCCACATATAATGCAATCTCAAATGCAATGTGCATCTTAATTGACATGAGCAATAATATCCAGCAAATACTATCTTACAATCCACAGAATATGCAAGCATAGCAAGTATTACCTTTGAGTCATCCAACCTGAACCACGCATCTGGGGCTGAACGCACAAAGCTATAGTAATGCCCAGAAGTGGACGAGAATCCAATATGAACCACAATTGCATACAGATCATATTTCAGTTCCACCTATAGGTTAAAAAAAAAGAATGAGAGGAGGTTAGTAACCAGTTCACATAACAAAAGAACAAACAAAGCCAATGGAACATGGCATTTTTTTCCCAGTTAAAAGAAATATTTGAACCCCACAGATCCCACCCATCAAAGTATTTTTACAACAGGACCAGAAAGTAACCAAAAAGTAAATTTACAAAAAACATTTGTAGCCAATATCACAAGATAAAAAGTTTCCCAAAGTTATTCACCATTAGCAACAAACAACAAAAAAATAAAGAAATTCACTCAACAGTGTCATCGCCTGGATTTTGGCTCAAAAGAGGCAATAATAAGGTAAAATGTTATGCCTACAACAGTGCCCTCCCACCCCCGACATGCATCAGCCCTAAAGCACTTAACCTCCAATCCTAACCACAACACCAACTCGGACCGTGATGGTCACCCAAATGAAAGCAAGTATTTTATTGAGACATTACACTTAACAACAAATAATCATTCTACACACTTGCACATATTTCTTGCACAAGAAAAAAATTACCAATAAGAATATATTAGCAAGCATTTTAAAAAAATAAAAATAAAAATTGACATTTTAAATGTAGACTTCACAACATAATAAAAGAGACTGTCGTAAAATAAACACATAAAGGGAAGAAATTATTAGAAATTTATTTAAAATAAAGAAAAAAAAATAGGAGTATTTATTAGGGGACGAATTGAACAACTATTTCATGAACATATAATAAAACACAAATTTTATAAAGTTGAGGAGGGCCCCTCCTATGTCCATGCTCCCTCCGTCCCTGGCGATGCCCTTCAAATTAGATCACAAGACAATTGCATCAGGCCTCCTATTTATGCAGTTCAAATTCCTAACAGATCTTTCTACTTTTGGCTTTGACATCAGTGACAATTAGATCATAGAATTGAAAGAAATTCTCAGACTCAAAAGACGAGTACACCAATAACTCACATTATTATTCTGACTGGCACTAGTGTACGGCAACAAGTTCAGCTCCAATGGGAATTCCACAAACTTGTCAATCTTCTCAACATAAGAGCCATCATTCTTGAATCTCTTCAAATGGAATGCAGCAACCGAGGGAGCCTGGTCCAATAGAAGCTGCTTCTCTACTGACACTCGTTCCTTACATTTTTCACAGGTAAACTTTGTCTCTGGATCTTCAATCTTTTCCACTCGGGTGAAAGATTCCAGAGCACTAGGAAGTGAACCCACATCCTCAATCTCTAAACTCAGGTCAATCAAGGGCTCGTAAGTGTCAGAACAGTGACCACAATTGCAACATTGAAGCTGAAATTCAAACACAAAAGCATTCAACATTTAATTAAAAGAATCAGTAAGTTAACTCTACCCAAATATGCGTGCATAAGATGTTAGCTAGCTTTATCAGTTAAATTCATTATTTAAAACAGTGATGATGGAGGAGCAGAAATCACTTTAAAATTCATACTTTGCTAATTAGACGACCACCGAAAACTTGCTTGACCAAGTTCTCATCCTCTAAAGGAAAAGCCATATCCTTCATATTCGAATAAATATAACAGCTTTCAAGTCTATCTAGAAAGCATTGTAGAAATTCATGAGCATCTTCCTGCTGGAATCTCTGGAAATTAGATGATAAATCTGATATTGATTGGTCAAGAATCACAATGGAATATGTAATTTTAAGTTAAAATGTGAGGAATCATACAACCAGCCATACAAGATACTGCAAGACCAAAAATTCATAGCAATGAATCAAGCAAAAATGATGATTGAATAGTTCAATTTGCTCTGCTCCAGTGACCAAAACTATGCAATTGTATGTTTAATGCCAATCCAGCCCGCTTCTTTACAATTAGACTTCAACAAATTTCACTGTGAAAGAGGATACAGCTCAAATTGTCAACAAACGTCCATGGGGTAACAACTCTGCCCATAGAAGTCAGTGAGAGTTCAATGTGGTAACGAAGAGAACAAAGTACACAAAACCCTTCAATATCACCTGCAAATTCCAATTCCAAAATCAGAATTCAACACACAAAGACAAGGAACATAGTATTATGAACGATTGATGCATTTACTAACTCCTGTGAACAAATCAAAAATATCAACAACAACAACAACAAAAAAAACCCTAAATGAGATGAAACATGCATAATTGAGGATATGAATCTTACGATAGCAAGGCCTTGGGTGATAGTATGACCAAAGACCCTGAATAAGCGGCACCGTGTATGTAAAACATTGTAAGACTGCATTAAGAAAGCAAGTGTTGCCTAGATTTGCAAGCCCAGAACCCTACAAATTCACCAAATAAACAAAATTGAAATTGAAATTACCGAAATACTAAAAACCCAAAATTGAAAACATACACATCAAAAATTGGCATTTAAATAGAGATTTAGAACACCAACATACCACAATAGCAGGCTTAATTTCATTGTACCAATCAACATAAACTGAAACTAAGGGCTTGGTTTCAGTTTCTTCCTGCAAAGACCACAGTTCAGACAAACCCAATTCCGAGGGTTTCAATTCTTCACCCAACAACCACGGCTCAGGCCAATCTAAGCTTAAGGCCTTGGTATCTTCACTCTTCCCTCTGCGAGAGTCCCATGGCGTGGTCGACCAATGCGAAGACGAGTACGCCGGAGCAGTATTCACTGGCGAAGAATGCAATGTATCATCTTCTTCTTCGTCTTCTTGGGAATCAACATCAAGAAACAAAGCCGAATCGGACTGATCATCGAGGGTTTCGTCGGGACAAGGCGACAAGTAGTCGAAATTGGAGGAATCATCGGCATTCGAATCCGAAGGACCTGAAGATGAATTGAAAAGATCGTCTAGGGTTTCAATCGGGGGAGGCGGAGAGGGTGAATTGGGGGAAAACCCATCTAGGGTTTGCTTCAAAACAACTGAATCAAAAGTCGAAGAGTCCAATTCTCGAGGTTCTGTAAGGTGGGTATCCATGGAAATTTCGAGAGAGTTGTAGAGAGTGATGGGGATGACAAAAATTAGGGTTTTGAATGTGGGTTTTTTTCGGGGAAGTTGTTGTTTTTCGGGTAAGTTGAAATTGTGAATGGTGGGAAAAGATAAGAGAATTGGTGGGTTTCAAAATTAGGGTTTTTGTATTCAGGGATTTGAAGAGGTGAAAGGGAAAATTTTCAGTGCGGACCCTTGTTTTTTTCTTCCTTTTGAAAAGCGAGGGAAAATGGTGAGGGGTTTCGGTTTTCCGCCTCGAAGTACAGAGACAAGAGAGAGGAGAGAAGAGAGAGAGAGAGATACGTAAATTTCTAGTTGAGAGAGAGAGAGGCAGGCGTAATAATTTTTAGTTTTTGGGAGAGAAAGATGTAAATTTAGGTCAAGTTTGACTATTTTAAATAAGTATATATTTTTTATTTTTTTATTTTTTTTTATCACATTATCTCTCTACTTTTCTGTATATCTTTTTGTAAAAAGATAAAAAGTACACTTATTTAGGTCATTCCAAATAACCCCTTATAATTTAGACAGAGAGAATAGAACTGTAATTTTATAGAAGGAGAGAGAGAGGGGTAATTTTATAGTTTTAGAGAGAGTGGGGAAAGAGAGATGTGTAAATTCTACTTGAGATAGACTTATAAGATTCTAGAGAGAGGGGGAAAGAGGGGGAATTTTATAGTTTAGAGCGAGGGTAGAGATATGTAATTTTACTTGAGATTCGTTTGAGAATAGGTTAATTTAGTAATTTTTTGACTATTTAACTAAAATATAAGCTAAAAAAAATTAGTATGTTTGGGATGACTTTTTCATTTCTCATAAAAAATAATAATAATAATTTATAGTCCATTTGGGTTTTTTTCTATTTTTAAAAAAATAAAAAATAAAAAAATTTAAGAGTAGAACCAAAAATTAACATGTCCACAGCAGAAGCTGATAATCAGAAGCAAGGGGTGAGCAGCTTCTCAGAATCAACTTTTTTGACTTAAAGTAAGCTGTTAGAATCAAAAGTTGTTTGAAATAAGTTTAACCAAATAGTCCAAAATAACTTTTTCAAAACTAAAAGTCATAAATTAACTCTGAAAAGTTGAAACAAACACCAGGTAATGGGATGCTTTGCAAACTTGATATTAATCTAAAACAATTAAATGTATTGTATATGTTTGAAAAAAAATTGCTTTGTTTGGTTTTCAAAAACTTTTTTCATAAATTTTTTCTAGATATCTAAAACATAATTTGGTGAAAAAATTAAAAAATATTGATCATTTTTATATAGGTGTATCTTTTTTAGAGACAGAAATAATGTTATATTTTTTTAATTATTTATTTTTATTAAACTATTTCCTATTTTGTGAAAAAAAATTAAAAAATTATTTTTAAAAATCAAACCAAACTTAGCCGTTTTAGAGAGGATAACGCAAAATAATTATAATTTCATAAAAATGCAAGTGAGCTGCAAAAGATAGTTGTGGTATAAGACACCGTTCCTATTTTTTCGGATTTCTGCTTGCATGAAAATATAGTTATTATGAATTGTTTCTTTTTAAATGTAATTTTTTGTATTTTTAGGTGATGTAATTTTATAAAAATATTCAATTAGTTTAAACTTGTTAATAAGAATTTATTAGGGATGTTCTAAAAATAAAAATAAAAAAATTGATTAAAGAATTCAGAAAATTAATATTATTTTTCATTAGTTAAAAAAACTAAAAGATACTCAACTTTTTCACTAAAAAAATGATAAATTGCACTGACCTCCTTTGAAATTTGGAAATAATATAAAGGGAAATTACTTATCAGTTATACCATCAAAAAATTATTACAGGATGATGAAAAAATTGATAATTTTAATTATTAATATGTATAAAGCATACCATCTACATGTAATTTTTTTCAAACACTCACTCCCGATTGAAATTTTCCCTAATATAAATAGCCTCACAATATTAATATAATTATATTGACTTTCATTTTAATAAGACTACAATGATTGGAATTTGCATTAATACGAAGATATAACGATAAATAAGAAAAAAATATACATTTTTGAGTAAAAAAAAGTAACAATATTTTTTTATCAAATGACTAATGAAATATTGATGAAAATAGATTAAGTATTATATGAATTAAAATTTTAAAGATCCTTATGTAATTATGCTAAAAAGCTAAAAGCTATAAGCTTTACTAAAAAAATCATTAAATTCACATAAATGTATAAGTTTTTTTGGATTCACATAATAAGAGAGGTCTGTGTAATCTAATAAAAAAAATATCACTTAAATTCATAATGTATAAACTTTTTTAAACTTTATCATCCAAACAGATAAGGGAAAATAATCATTAAAAATATCAAACGGCCTCTAAATAAATCCGGGCACTAGTGTGGAAAATCATAATTTACCACATGGGAGGAAAATCTTATATCACTAGTAAAATTAATTATGTAAACATATAATTTATTATTAGGAAAATGCTATAAATCCTAAAATTGCTACCAAACAAATGACTAAATGTTTCCACCAAGGATCCTCTAGAGTTAAATTTCCCTAAAGTTTCCTAGAGTGCTACATTGTGTGGTTGAGATTTACTGGCAAGTCACATCAGAAAAATTGATGTGACTTGCCAGTAAATCTCAACCACACAGTGTAGCACTTTAGGAAACTTTAGGAAAAAATCACTCTAGAGGATCCTTGCTCAAATGTTTCATATGGGTGTGGGGTCCGCAATTTTGTGGACCCCACACTTATATGAGACATTTGATCATTTATTACGAACCCCATACTCATACGAGACATTTGATTATTTATTTGGTAAAAAATTTAATAGCCCTGGTATTACCCTATTTTAAATTTAAAACAAAAATGGTGAAGTGTGGTAAGAAGAATAAAAATAGTTTCTCAAAAAAAAAACAAAATTATAAATGTAATGGTTGTTAAAATTACACAATTCATAGAAAAATGCTTACAACACCAAAAACATCACTCTTAAATTCATCTTTGATGACCTAGATTGTTGTAGGTTAATTTTTAATTTATTTAGAAAAAAACTATCCTATACACCCTTATCTGTGTATTATAGGATTTTCCATTTGTTTAATAATCAACAATTAAAACTCAATCCATGTCACCTCGCCCATCTAAGTAAAATTTAGGGATAATATTTTGAAGTTTTCCTCAAACTAAGCTCCTATACTAATTTATTTTCCAAACTAAGCCTAATTTGGCCGAATTTCCCAAACTAAGCTGAAGCGTGTTTACAAAACACGCTTTCAACATGTTCCTGGCCCAGGCAATGGAATTATGAAAGCGTGGTTAGAAAACACGCCTTTACTTAAGAAAGCGATGTTATTATTAGGGCTTTCAGATAATGATCGCGTAATTTGGAAGCACGCTTTTAACAGAAAGCTGTTATGAAATGGCCCACCCCCCTCATTTGCAACCACGCTTTCTACCTCCTCTCTTTCTTTTTCCCCAAAACCCTAACTAGAGGCAACATTCCTCCCTCTCTCTAGGTCACTCACAGTCACTCTCCCTCTCTCTCTCGCTCTTTGCTCTCTCTCTCTGGGTCGCTCACAGTGACTCTCCCTCTCTCTGTCGCTCGCTGCACCTTCCTCCCTCTCTCTGAGCTCATCTCTCTCGCAGCTACGTTGGTACTCTCTCTCTCTCTCTCTCTCTCTCTCTCTCTCTCTCTCTCTCTCAGTTTGAATTTTATTTATATTGATTTTGTTTGTGAAAACGCGAATGTGGGTAGAATAGTGAGGGAGGAAGTTTGGAAGATACCAATATGGGTTAGGGCTAGTTTTCTGTGAATTCAAATTGGGGTTTTGAGAGGGTTAAGGCTAGGGTTCTGTGAATTCAATCCAGTGGTACATAGTTTTTGCCAAAGTGATAATCAATTTTTTCTAAAGGAATGTGAATTCAATCCAGTGGTACCCCATTTTTTTTGAGATGTATTATAGAACTTTTCTAAATTATTTATATATTATACTTTTTTCTCAAATGTTTGCATCGCTTATAATGTATTTTGAATAATGATATTGCTATGTGATATCATCATTTCTTCCAATATTTTATACTCCAATATTTTGCTTGATTATAACAAAGATCCAGAGAGATTCAAGTGCCATTTTTTGGGTATTGTCATAGCAAATACCAGAGTTTATCTTAACTCACAATGAACATAAAATAAGAGATCAAATCCCTTAATTACGGATATACATTGTCTTAACCCGTAAGTAGCATTTGATTTTTCCTTTTGTTAACTTTGAAAGTTTGGAAATAATTAGGCTTATTAATTTTATTGTCTGTGCTGTTTAAGTGGTTGAACTGTAAATTTCATAGGTTTACTTGTATTTAAATTATTCTTTTTGGGGTGCTACAGGACGTCAACTCTTGTCTCAACTCATTAATTATTTAGGTTTACTTAAAAAATTCTTTTTAAGTAATCATTATTATTTATTAAGACATGCATAAAATGGATGAACAAATCAAATGACATTAACATTTAATATATTATCACATGTAATCTAAATTAATTTTTTGAGAAATCGATACACAAATTCTGAAAATTGTACAAACAAACCTGTTAGTCACTAGGAAGATTGGCAAATCAGTGAAATGAAATCTAAAAATTCCATAAACCAAATATTATGTAGAAAACAAAAATCAAATTAATAAAATGTAACAACCTGTATATATAATTTCACTTTCACTAAACCTGAAATACACTTATGTATATATAATTTAGACATACACATCACACTTATATTGTAATAACAAAGTATTAATCACACAAACTAATCAATCCAATGTTATTATAATAAAACCAATGCATTTAATTTGAAGAGTAAGCCAAAAAATAAATAATAAAAAAAATATAAAAACCACACTCACAAACATCTAACTACACAAAAAGAAGTAAGATCAAATTGACCCATTTTAGAAAACTCAAAACACACGTAAGAATAATGAGTTTATTTAATGAGTTTATTTAATGAGTTAATTAACAATATGAAATAATATTAACTCATTAGTTAATCAATGTTTTAATGTTCTAATTTTAATTATAATATGTGCAATCCAGTTATCTGTTTCATTTTGATTTCGTAATCCATCTGCTTCATACATATGCTGCTTCCGCCTTTATGGTATCAGAGCCAAGTGATTTTGTATCCTGTTTCTAACTGTTTAGCTACTTCTGTTCAATCGTCTTCCTTGTTTATTTAATTAATCCTGTTTTCAGTTCATCTTAATCACCCACAAGATCCGTCTGTTCTACCCACCTAGTTTAAGTCACCCACTTCTTCCCAGTCTTGT